ATATTTGCAAATTCGAATGTTTCAATCCATACATATCATAAACAGCTAATATTTTGAACATTTGTTAGGGAGTTAGACAGTTGCTCACATGTTTATGGATGTGAGCTTGTTGATCTTGGGTGTGAGTGTAGATTTGGATATGATTTGAGGGACAGTTGACACCCACACTTCTACCTGTTCAGTTCGAGGTCTATTATGCAATGCTAAAGGCAACACTTTCTTCTCATGAAACCACAAGTTTGACCAGTCAGTCCACGAGTCCTGGGCGACTTCACTAAACAAATAGAGACCGTACTACGTTGGAGTGCATTCGATTTTGAAATGGGTGGATGTTTGTGCAAGTCTTCGCTTCACTAACACCCACATTCTTTATGTATAATGTATGAATGTCTATTTAACATTAAATTTTGCAGTTTCAGTTATAATACTTCGCATTACGTTTGTATTTTTGATGCCTTGCAAACCTTCGTCAGAGTTTTCTTTTATTTCATATGAGAAGATAAAAAGTTCACATTATCGAATAATGGTACGTGCCTATTTCTGAAAAGAAAACTGAAAAACTAGACGATATTTTTGCATGCATCCGGTATATTGAATATAGCTGGATCAATGATCTTTGGTACAAAATCAGTTGTTGTGATTGCAGTTGCTACAGCTAAAATGACCACATAACACCCTATGTGTCGTTGAAATAAAACAGTTATTTACCTGGGTTTTGGAGAAAACTATTTCCAGTCAATGGAACACACAGACCATCACGACTAACTGTCGAATATGTAATCGCTTGATCGATTTTTACGAGCCATGTATCGCCAATTATTTGTTTATTCCCATATCCATACGTAACCGAACGTATGTACGTTGCTGTATCTGTATGAGAACAAAAAATGAATAGTCTTATGATTATTGAAATAAAAATATCATTAATGAATAAACTCGATATATACCTGGTATACAAGTAAGTGGCTGAATTGGCATTGTTGATTTGTAGCATTGTTTCGAATCTAAATCATATGTATAAATCTTTCCGTCTTTCATATTTTCAATAATCCATAAATTTGATTTCTGTTGATCAAATGCAGAAAATGATACGCCTTGCATTCCGACCATACCACGATCCGAATCATATGAAAAATTGTAAGTCCCCTATTTTTTGAATAGAGTAGATTTTAGATTACAATACATATTATAAGGAACGACTTACATATGTACCGAGTGTTTTACCATCTGGAAGAACCACACCACTCGATGTACTCATTACGGAACTAAATTGTTTTGGTACACAACAACGTTTTGGTTCGTCGGTCACTGACTTTGTTGCTTTGCCATTGGAACCAATTGCAAAAAGAGTAACAGCGATAAAAACTGCGTAGCAAAACATATTTTTCTTTTTTGTTGCTTTAAATCGTTCGGTATCAGTTAATAAATCAAAAATACTTTCTTATTTATAGAAAAGTAAATGGAAAGCAGGATAAATATTTCTCATGGCTTTTGCTCTATTTTTCTTTCTTTTTTTTTGGTTGATGCCTTGCCATGACATACTTACTGAAAACAGATGGATTATTTTCCCACTGAGATGCCCCGAACGACTCAAGTATGCATCAGCATCAATAAGCATTTTTCATGTATATAATTCAAAGACACACGCTTGTAACGATCATAAATGATAATAAACGGGCAACGTGTACAGATTCCATTTACGGCGCGCAGCGGAGTTCTTAAAACAATTCTCCGTTATCAGACGATCAGCTCGTACATTTCATAAAAGAGCCAGCACGATGACCGCATATAGTCCTACTCCATTCTTTCCTCAAGAGCTATATGATAAAAATGTTCTAGCTGTGGATGTGTAGGTGTGGGAAAGGAGAAACGAAGATCCACACTCACACTCTCTTCTATTATAATCCATTCAATATAACATGGGTGTATTTTCTAATCAAAAATAACGATAATGAATTCCCATTAAATCTTTTAAACAAGATGTAATTTTAAACAAAACTTGTTATGTTTATTTTTGATTTTAGTCACTGCAAATGCCGGCCCATATTGCAAATAGTGAATTTATTTTAGCGATAAATCGTGGTTAACTGGAAATCTTATTTGAAACCGGAGTAATATGAGGAATTAATGATTAAACGCAACTAAGGTGCGTGCCAGTAGATGTTGGTTTTAGGGTGAAAGAATACCCACACCTTCATTTTTTAAATTCACTCTAGAATGATATATCATTGAAAAATAGTGATGCCGAAAGGTCTAACATATAGACATTTTGGAGTTTATTTTTTATATTTTCGAACACAGTGATTCAGATCGTTTTCATGCGTAAAAGTGTGTAGTTCTTCAGCTGCTTTATTTAGAAGCTGATGTTGAATTTGTAACAGAATGAACAATTCAATATCGTTAAATCTAATTATTCTTTACAATGTTCTTCAATATTTTTATTGAATAGATTTGATGAATTATTCTGAAGCGGATGAGAAAAGTAAACACGTGTGGACTATCAAGAAAAATTGGTATTCTTAAATCTAATGATGTGGTGCATGTAACTCAACATGCAATATCGGCTGGTGAAACATTTTAAAAAAATCTATAATCAAGTATATGATATGACCGTGAAAAACTCCAATGAATTCTTATTACAGTAGAGATAACAGTAGAACAACGTCGAAATGGTTTTGAAAAAGTTTCAGCAAGATCATATATTAGGTGTGGCTGTTTCTTTTCTTTTTACCCACACCTACACCTTAAATGGCCATCCATAGCACCAACACATTAGCTCTCTACTTGTCTATTATTTCAACTCAACAGTCATCAATCACGCACGGTTTCTCGGTATTTAATTAATTTTTTCTTGCCTTGTCTCGCTCAGTAGCTCGTCTAAAAGTACTTTATGCAGTGCACAACTAGCAAACATGGTTGCATCTGAGCGAAGAATGTATGTCTCAAAAACTGGAACAAAAATTCTAGAACATAAAAACTACGGATGCTACATATTTAGGAAGAGAAAAATCCGAAAACTCTTGACTTTTGACATACGAAATAGATTTTGCAGTGTGCCAATTTTTGCAGATGTCTGTATTCGAGACTTTTCCGAACTTTGAGATAGTAACGGCAAAAATGGCGTGAAATTCAGGAAATGTTCACATTCCAGAGATTCTCTACTGTGGAAGAGATCTGGAAAAGTGTCCACATAGTGAGATTTTATTGTATAAGTCAAATAATGTGAATAGTACGAATTGTGACCGACACGATACGATCATAAGCAACAAGTATGAAAGACAAGCTAGTTTGTTCTTCTCATGAGATACGGGTGCTAATAGAGATGATGTCCACGCCCACACCCGCACCCTTCGGGTCCATACCCGAACCCTAATCGATGAGCTCTAATGGCGATAGTGGCATAGATGACAGTGGTATACCAGTGTTGTAATTAAAAACTTTCTTCCGGTCATTCGTAGACTACATTATAATGACCATGAAGAGTAAAGCAAAATAGGATAAAACTATTTGACTATTATATATATTTTCCTTCGTTTATCTAAAGCGATTTCAAGAGGAAGATGAAATCATTATCTGAATTATCTGAAAAAAAGAAATTTATAAATGGAAACCTATTTCAGCAATAATATTTGATTGAACAACTTAATTTAATAACCTATCTTGCTATTATTTATTATCTTGATTAATCTCAATTTCTATTTCAGTTAATTTTTTTTTCGAGATTGTGAGCGGCATTCGTTTTCATATCAGTTATTAAAGATAAATTTATTTTTTACGTTCAATTTGAATTATTTTAAATTAATCAATGCTTTCTTTTTCAATTCTATGTTTTAAATACTGTTTTGAGGTTCGATTTATGTACTGTAACATTGCCATTTGGTCAGCATCTAATTGCAATTGATGATGAATGTCAATTCAATGAAGTCGACCAACAATTTGCAAAATAAAAATATTTAAATCATTAAATTCAACAATAAAAATGACATACCTAACATTGACTGTAATAAATTAAGCTGACTCATTATACCTAAAAGAAAATTTTATTAAATCATTTATTGAATATTTAATATTAATTTAAAGCGTTCTTTTAATTCCCCATGACGACTTGTATCAAAGAAAATATTTTAATAAATTAATTGAAATGTTTAAACAAACAATTTTATTTCATATACATATTAATAAAGACTATAAGTCACACAAGTTTAGTTAAAAGTTATGTAAAATCATTCTGTCAACTAACCTGAGAAAAAAAGCTTTGTAATATATGAAAACAATTTGTATTTCATGGAGCTAACGAATAACAGTCGATATGTAATAAATTTTATTAAAACAATATATTGCTAAGCTTTTTTTCTATTTGTTCCTTCATTATAGTAGTAAACATATGATATCGGAATTCAATGGTTGATTTTTTAGGATAATCAAGCACAGAATATGACATCATATCCTTGTTTTCGTAATTTGACTATGATATATTGAGTTTTCTAGTCGAAATCATTATGATTTGCTCATCTAGTCTATTTTTTATTAGACATAAAAGAAAAAATTCAAGTGGATCTCATATTTCACCAATACGAAATGAGTTTCAAGATTTTTTTTCAAAGAAGTTACATCATATTATCTATGAAGACTAAAACTTTCAAAGTAAATGAACTAATGCTTCCGTATTTCATGCAATTACATCTTATTGGAAGAAAATATATTAATTAATAAAGACAAAATAACTCAACAAATTCTTAGTGGTTCTGCAATTAGAGCAAGACTATTCTTTTTGCTCTTCGTCATAAAGTATCAATAGATTGTGGGTCTATGCAGGCCGGACTTTACTCTTCACACCCACACCCTTCATATCACAATCGACAAAAACAACTGAATCGATCTCGTTTTTCCCGATAGAAAAAGATCAATTGAATTGACATTTTTGTACTAGTAGATTTCGAAAGTGTACAAGTTTATTAGTCTTATTCATTTCAATTCAGAAAAGTCTTAAAGTTTATTATTCAGGCATTTTTTTGTGCGAGCCATGCTTCGATGACACTTTTGAATGTATAATTTGGTGTAACATTGGTTACTGTCGCTCGGCATATCGGACATACATTGCTCGATCGCATCAAATATCCGTTGATTGCATCCATCTCGAACATGTGACCACATGGTGTTGTTGTTGCCGGATTGTCCATGATGTCCAGTGTAATCGGACAAGTGAATAAATTTTCGTCAAGTTCAAGTCGTGATGATGATAATGATGCTGGTGCTTGATTAGAAACAGCATTTCCTCCATTCGATGTTGCCGCCAATGATTCTAAATCTGCCATACCGGAATCAGTCTGATTAGTTGCAAGTTTTTGCGATTGTTTAATTAGAGATGACACACTGTGAAATGCTGGTGGCTGCATGACCGTTCGCAACATCCGTGCCAATTGTTTGCACTGTCTTTCAACATATTCTTGAACGCCAGGTTTATCCAAATGAGCGAATGGTACAGCTTCTGATACAATCGGTGCTAATGTTTTTTGTCCATAATCGATGGCATAATCAAGTTCGGAAACACCAGACATCGATGGTTCGACAGTCAAATGTGCATAATCACAAAATGCACGTAATGCACCAGCGACGAACAGATCTTCACAATGCGACACAATATAATCGATGATAGTTGATCGAGGAATATTGACTTTGACTTTTTCCATTGGTATCGAAGCTCCTTGACACGAGGCTTTTGCCATTTCAACTGTCTGCTTGATTGTGTCGAATGCGCTTCGAACTACAAACGGAATAGATTTGAGACGATCTCGAAGTGTATACAAGTGTGCATTGATTTGATCGACCGAATACGAGCTACCGCCAAGTATCATTAATTGATCACGTAAAATGTCGACGTCTTTTCGCGCAGACGAATCGTACAGTTCAATGGCACCGTCGGGTAATTTTGGATTATCGAGTAGAGTTAAATACCGCGGACGAACAACAGCACCGCGTTTACTTAAATTGGCTGAGTAATATGCTGCCACCTGGGACGGTTCTGTGACCATCAATGATCGAGAGATAGCTTTTCCTGTACGAGCATCCAGTCGATTTCCTTCGTTATCGACAAAGACACACCATGCCATTGGATCGTTTGTATCGATAAATGCTGAAGCATTCTCATATACTGGCTTGTCGTAAGTAATCGAGCTATCTGTTAGTTGAAGTAGAAAACGTTTGAGAACATGAACGGTAAGTATTTGATTGCTTGATTTTACTTGTTCTGTTGACACGCCTACTTTCGGAGCAAGTTCACGAATGATTTTGATCCAAAACGCCGAACGATTTTCATCCTGATCGAGATCGGTTAAAAACTTGTTTGGCACAACCAAGGTCGGTAATGCTTGTGTTATAAAGTCAGGATATGATCGACCTGTTACGTCCATAATCCATGCGAGTCGAATTGCAGTCATTGGTTGTAAAGTCCAATCGTTATCGAGTGGAATATCGAGTGAATGTTGTAATTGTCGAAGGCACGATGGGAGCAGACGTAGAATAGATAAAAGATCGACAGTTCCATCTGGTTTTCGCCAAACGATGATGTTTGAATCGGCGGGTTCTGTTGGACGATCACTGATTTTCGAATTGGATAGTATGTCGAGAATGAGTGATAAAAGATCAAGATCATTCGGTGAATAGACAGTTTTGAGTTGAATTAATGCTGCTGATAACATTTCACAGCTGCATGTCAAACTTGCAATTCGTACATTCAAATAACCGATCGAATGTCCATACTGTTTTTCGTTCTGTTCAATGATCAGTGTCCGCTCACTGAAACTCATGGCACTTTGCCACAACTTTGTCAGCTCGGCTTTTGCCTTGTTATTGTTCGATAGACTATCAATTAATTTCTTCTGTTCAGCCGAAAAGTAGTCGAGTATTTTAACTAAGTAACCATACAGCTGTCGACAGGCATTGCTTGTTTCCAAATGACACATGGCCGTTTTGGTTAGAGGCGTTATCAATGACATTGTATTTCGAAATTCTTCCCCTCGAATACATCGTTCAAAGTTGAGTTTAGCAGTTTCTTCTAGATAGTGGAACAATCCAAGAATCTTTTTGGTGAATGTATTCAACACATCTTCACCTTGACTGATACAATTCTGTAGTACTTTTATCATTTGAGTAGGAGCTAGAAGGACGGATGGAACCACATAAGTACCGATAATGATGTACGATGGTAAATGAGCGAATATTAGATGTTTGCCAATAAACTCTTCAATAATAGTATTCATCTGTGTATATCGATCCGAAGCAATGCCAATGTATGGTACAGTTGTACTCACACATTTTGCAATAGCTGCTGCATGTATCTTTTCAACACCTGCTGATGACCATGGTGGTGCAACGAAGAATACTGTTTTGCAGTGCTCTTGATAGACAAGTTGAGAGATATCATCGGTAAACTCTCCGTCGGATACAATAATTGCATCGTGTACCGTAGCGAACTGTTTTGTTCGCTCGAACGACGGACAAAATGCGGTTCTACCACCTGGTTGATAGTTTCCAGCAATGAATTCGTTCAATGTCAATAATCGTCCACCGATAGCCCGATGGACTGCCTCTTGACGTCCTCCACCGAACAATGACACATAAACATTCATGCCGTGCACTTGCAAATTTTCACATAGTTGTACGATGTTTTGAACGAGAGGAACAAAACCTGAACCTGACATCGATCCGCTCATATCAAAGTGAACGACGAGAGATCGTTGTTCCATTTGCAAGCCATACTGAGTTAAATCATCAAGTGTCATAATTGCCATATCAGGATGATAGTAGACAAATTGTCTTGCAACATTAGTGATGTGAGTTGATGAAATGGAAACCTTTTGTGATAGAAGTTTTAACATACGTTGATAGACCATTTGAACATATGCTGATAGCTTATCTGTCGATATCTTGTCACAAAGGTCATTGATATTGGCAACGATTTCAAGAAATTGAGCTTGAGAACATTGGTTCACATCGTATTGAGAAAACAGAACGGAAGATATGAATGAATCAGAACTTGCAGCTTTTCGTGCTTCCGCAGTCAACGTTTGCTTCATTTGACGAGCCATTTTTGTTACATTCAAATGTAAGCACGACTCTTGACACTATTTATAATGTCCAACGTCTAGGACGAAGAAAATTTTATACCTTAAGAGTATGTCACTGAGTTACATCATAAATTGATTATATTCATTGCATTATTTTCTTCCATCATCTGCTCCTTTCGCAATATCAGTATCTGATTGCGTAAGGCAAAAAAATCCCCATCAGTCAATATTAAATCTTATGCAATCACTAGAAATCATTGCTAAGCAAAACTGGCAAAGTTCCTGTCTGCATCTTTCTCAAGTCGTGGCTCGAATAAAAATGTGAACAGATGAAAGATTTAAGCTCGCAAAACATTTATCTTGTCATAGCAAATAAAATCTACTCCGGTGTCTTCTATGTATGGGTATTTGTGTACATATGAATATGCACTGGAAGTCGTGTCATAAGAAAGCTCGCATCCATCCACATTCTTACCCAGTATGGCCAATGCAAAACATCATTAGAAATTATTTAAAAAAGTAGTTTTTATGAAAGATATTATGAAGCTAGTAAAACTTCAGTTGTATATAAATACAATCACGTCTGGCTTATTCTGAGCTTTTTATTTTATTTATTGTTCGTTGTGTAGTGCTCATCGTGTTATGTCAATTAATGGGAGGAAAACTTTAAAATTAGTATCCAAGTCGATCTGATCAGTGTAAAATGAGAAAGTACATTTGTTTTATGTATCATGCTGCATAAAGTTAATATTTTTTAACTCTTTATCTACCATAACAGTTCCAGAAGAGTCACTAATGAAACAACTATTGAAATAAAGTCTTGGACTCTTCAGTAAGTCAATAGTGTAAGCAGATCGATCAGGTGTGTTTCGCTGTGTGCAAGAAAACTTCGCAACGCCAGTTGCTATTGGAGGGGTGAGGTGAAATTGAAAAATTCTATTTTTTTAATTTTTGTGAGTAGTTTGTTGATTTCACAAAATAAAATCTTTTGTTTTAGTTCAACAAAAATCATCAACGAAAGTATATACTTATTTTCTCATTGTTTATATCCTTCATTCTTACAGCTTAAGCTATGTTTTATAGATTGAAATATTAGTCAATACTCAAGAACATCGTATCTTTGCACAATTAATATTAATAGTTTTGATTCATGTTTAGTTCTTTTTTTTCTTTTTAATGATACTTTATCTTTAGAATCACTATTAATGTTATAATCATTATCTGTATCTGTAACTTGATATTTGTATCTAATGTTTTCATAGAAGGAGCATTGAGAAGTTTCATTTGTATTATAGATTATCAACAGTCAGTTAATACAAAAAAAAAACTTGAAGAAACTTAAAAATACATTGTTTATTGTTTATCTGTTAATCTGTTATCTAGAAAAAAAACATTCTATTATCGGATAAAATTCTGTAATTTGAGAAAAGAGGACAGCCATAGAGAGATAGATGCCACTGCCAAACGTCTATATAATATTACGATTAGATGAGAATGTCTAATTTTTTTTTTTAATATCATTACTCTCCAATAACAATCTTAGTTATTGTTCTATGTTGTACAATCTTTAATTCAATTTATTCGTCTGAAAATTTTGAATTCGTCTTTTTAACGATCTCATAGTCATTTCTCTTCTGAGTCGTATATTTTGGAGGCAGACCAATCATACAGAACATATTTTTGCCATTTGGTTGCTTAGAGAATTTTTAACAGACAATATGTAAAGAATTTTTTAATATTACGCGTTCTACATTTTCTGCAATTGGTTGTAAAAGTGACAATTCTAGTTGCTAATGGGAAGTAAAGAATTAATTGCTTTATATTTGATGAAACGATATTTTTTTTTTCTCTTTAAACTCCTTGAACATATTCGTGAGAGAAAACAGCTAACTATATTTTAATTACAATGATTATTTGTATATGTAATGCAGAATATTCTTGATACACTCATCAAAATAAAATATTTTGATATATTATGTATCTTTATGATGAAAGGCGATTTATAAAAAATATTGAGATATGTAACGAGTAGAATCACCTCTAAATCTATTTCAAACCCCATATCGAACTCATAGATGAACCAGAGTAAAAACAAGATATTTCAACTCTTCTGAATGTTTGACAAGCTGTTGTTATTGTTTTCAAGAAAGAAAACTAAAACTGAAAATATTAAGCACAACTCCAAAAGTTGTTGGATTTATACGACATTTTCGTTCTCTGAATATTTTTTTGAGAGCTGATAAATAATGAAAATATTGATGACATTTATTGTCTGTGAAAACGGGTAAATAAAACTGATTTAATTATTTAGAA